TTTATAATGTATTCTACTATCTTATTGTAACATTTCTTCCTTTGTAAAGTCACGTTCGCTATATTACTGTAATTTCCAAATTTAAATTCACTTATTTTGTCTGTACCTGAAATGGGGTATTGACCTGACTGACAGGGTCGCCTTGCACCCTCAATGTTATTGTTAACGCCCACTGGCGAAGCTGTTTATGTAATTAGTAATACACATTTTCATCAGTATCGAAAACAGTATCAAAACAGTATCGATAACAGTATCAACAAAGCAACAATCAATTCACATTCATACTCAATCTTAGAGCCTACTTTTATACTTTTACATCTAATTTTATTCATCTAGTTTATTTTAATTCTACGTGTAAGTTAAGTTAAGTGTTGACCATTAAATATTTCAATCAACAATCGTTATCATTTATATAAAATAGTTGCTCGCAATTAATTTGGCGTGTAAAGTGAGAATACCAGAAAGAACTCTTTCAATGAAAATTTATTTTCTCACAACAAACAGTATGTAACATTTAAACGTGAAGCAACTAACTACACAGAATAGAAGGAAATAGTTTGATAGTTTAAATACAATAATATATTGTTATTGTTAAGGACGCTGGTGGCAATGATCCCAAGCCGTACTTGATATTAGGACACGCGTGCATTATTTATTATCTAATCGTCCTGTGCTCGTGTCCTTGCGTCGTGAGACTTATTTGCACAAGAATGCACATTACTTTATGCGCCAGTGAATACGGCGCGTGTATCATATTAACACACATTTTTCTAAACCAATCAGCAAAGGTTCATTGCTATCTTCAGCAATTTATTAGCGATTCGAAATGGGTTTATTATTTATTATTGTTTGTTTGTTTCAATTACACTAATGACATTTTTGTTACACGCGAACGACCTTGTGCTTAATGCATAAACTTATCAGCAATTCATCCTGCAGTTTGTTTAAGGAAAGTGAAAAGCGTGGCAGTATTTTTAATTAAAACAGAAAATCAGAGACAACTGCTGTACAGGTTTAATAACTATGGTGAAGGCAACACTAATCAAACTGACCTCGACATGGGTCATCAAGATTGAATGCGTTTGGTATTGGTGGCTCATGGCTATAAATGGACTAATGGTTAGTAAATAATATGCTATTTTTATTTGTAGAGAAAATGTATTTCCTCTTTGATAAATAATTTGAAACAGTTTCAGGCTTCAGGCGAACTACGTAGGGTAAGAGCTAGTCCAAATAAGACCTTAATTTCACAGTCGAGTCCTTTCATCATCATCATCATAAGATCGTCAGTCCTCAGACTGGTTAGACACGTACCTCCACTCTTTCCTATCCTGAGCTAAACTTTTTTAAACATTTCCCTAAAACTAGAACAACCCACATCCTTAACTATTTACGAACAGGTCTACCTCTACCCCGCCTAACCCCTGTCTCTGCTTCTAATATGTCTCTGACTAGACCTTCATGTCTGAGAAGGTATCCTACCAACCTATCTCGCCTATTTTTTATTGACTTCCATAGAGTCTTCTCTGTTCTCCAATTCTTTCTAATACCTCTTCATTTCTAACCTTTTCTACCCACGTTATCCTCATCATTCGCCTATAACACAACATTTCGAAGGCTTCTAACCTTTTCCTTTTTCCGCCGCGCCCATTGTCCATGTTTTCCACCCGTACAACGCCGCGCTCCAAACATACGACTTTAACAACCTTTTTCGAGTTTCTAAATTAACCGTTCCCGAGCACAGAAGTGACATTTTTTTATTAAAGGCGGCACGACCCTGCACTATCCTCTGCTTTATATCCCTACTACTCCTTCCGTCCTGACTTATCTAACTTCCTAGATACCTAAAATCACCTACTTTTTCTAATTTTTCGTCTCCTATCTTTATATTCGCTCTTTCCCTACTTTTTCTTCCCTTGCATACCAGTATTTTAGTTTTACTATTATTTATTTTCATACAGTACTGATCTGTCAGTACCGCTTCCATTTTATTTAAAACTATCTCTAGGTCCTCCTTGCTGGATACTGCTATACCATCTGCAAATCTAAGCATACTAATTTTTTGCCCGTGTATATCTATCCCTAGAGTTGTACTGTCTTTAATGATGTTCGAGTTCTTTCATAGTAGAAAAATGACTAAATTATTTATTCAGTGTATATTTTTACCTTTTCAAGATCGTTGAACGAACCTATTAAACGAAATGTGATTTCTACATTAAATACCCTTACGACATTTAAAATGTTTGTATATTTCAAGGTGCTCCTAAGATAATTATTGCAATTATTGTCAGATCAGATAAACGAATGAGATGATATGCGTGTGCGTTGCCCAGTGTCAATAGAACAATAAATCAAGTGCATATGTTTTTTTACATACCTCGAACGCATACAAGTAGAAGACGAATGATGTAATTAACATGTACACAATCACATTCATTAATTTCACTCAGTTTTTGTTCCATTTTTGGGCAAACTCACTAGAATCCGTTTATTAAATTTAAGTTAGTACACGATTCGAAACTCTACCGAAAACTGAATAAAGTCCTGTGTTTATTCGTTGTTCAACATTACTGCCTTTTTTGCTCGCATTCTTGTTTAAAGATAAGCTCAAACGGTGAGGTATATCTATTCTACCATTGGATGCGCTAGAAGACTTTCAACTCGGCAAATAAAAAGGACAAATAAAGGTCGTTTTGAGTAGAATACACGCTCGAAATAAAAAAGAGATAAGCTTTCAAGACAGTATAGTTAATATGTAGAAAAATAATATTAAAAATTTATGATTTAACAACGAATTATAATGTTACAGGTATTACGGATCATTGTCACCTATCAGTGAAGTAATGTATGATTATGATTTAATTAATTAGAATAACAGAAATGCAATTTGAAATATTTAATTTGAAAATCCTTACTAAAGTATATTTATTCTACTATTACACACAAACGTGCAATCTTGTATGTCTTTATGGGAGGTGAAGTTTAAACAAATAAATAAATAAATGAGTTGAAAAACGAACATAGGGATATTCTTTTGCAAGCAATTGTCAAAGGACAACATCATATCTTAAAAAATATGACGTAGTGTAGAAAAATTGTGAATTTTCGCTGGTGCAACATAAAAATAAAGAATGTTAACAGAGGCAAATATTAACAATTTCAATTATTTTTTTCAAACCTATGTACAGATAAATATCAGAGTCATCATTTTCTTACAGTTAGTTTTTAAATATAAATAACCCACTCAATTTGGTTTATCCGTTTTGAAACTGTTGTAGAATGTAACAGACAGACAGACAAACGTTTCAAGATCAATCATTAAAGATTACTCACCTGAAAAACCGGCAAAAAGTCATTCAAAGCAGTATCTAAAAGACAGAGTCTGGAATAGGATAAAACGGCGTCGATTTTAATTTTACTTCTTTCGATGCATTCAGCAAGGGTTGAAACTGGGTAGCCAGTTACCCCAATGTACCTGGCTTTCCCTTGTTTAACCGCTTCCACCAATGTGGGGAGTGTTTCGTTCAAAACGATATCAAGAGATGGTGCAAATTCTATATCATGGACCTAAATTTTAAAATAAGGAAAATAGAAGAAAATATGTAGATAATCTACCAAATGCTATGTTAACATGAGATATGTCTAACATTTTAAAATGGGTAAGTAAAGGGCAAGTATGTAAACTAAACTGCTTTTGTAAATTCTAATTAATATATATACATATATTTGATTATTATCAATAATTTTGTGCTCTTGATAAAGACCTAATCAGTAGAAACAATTGGAGAGTTTATAATTAAAGCTTTTTTTGAAACATTTTTTCTTTTGCAAAATTTGATTTGCTAAGTCCGTTAAAAATTATCAGTGAAAAACAACAACAAAAAAAAATATTTTGCATCTATTTAGCGTCTATCTCGTTTCGCAGTTAATTTTTAGCAGAGTTTCACCAATAAATCTTTTACAGCGTATTATGTAACTTTACGCAGTTAACATAAAATACTAGATAGTATATTCCATAAATAAAACAGTTGAGAACATAATACATAAAATATACAATTATTATCTAATTTTTATCAATATGAATTTTTAAAAAATAAAATGACTAATACCATTAGTATATGCTACTATTTACCATGTGATTTAATCACCTACGATAAATAAACAAATTGTGACCAAACTAAAAAACTACATTTTAAATGGTTTAATTAACGGGAAATATATCTTCCATTTTTAAAATAATTGAGTTAAAACACGCTTTTTCAAAATTATAAAACAAAAAATAAATATCCCGAAAATGGTACAAATTTTAGAGTCACCTTTTGACTCATTAAAGGTCATTGAACATTTTTCATTTACATTACAAAATGACTGAGAATTAATTAAGAAAAAAATTTAGCATTTACTACTACTAAGTAGGTACTACTGAAGTAATTCACATTATAGAGAGAAAGGTCATTATCAAGAACACATTTAACAACCGTCAACATATTTGTAACTATAGGTCAGGGTCTAATCTAAATTGCGTTCCTAGTCAATTGCTGTTTTGCGAAATATTATCATTAAAATTGAACAAAATACTTAGAAAACTGATTCCCCCATATCATATATAACCCGTCATATGCAATATTTTCAAATGAATATGATATTATTAAGTTTTACAAATAACTACTAATCAGTAGTTTAATCACAACTTTCGTTGAAGTTGGTTAAATAAAATTAGCCTAAACATGTACGTTTAAGTATATTATTTTTTGAAGTAACTATTAATTTTTTTATTTAAATGCATTTAATGGACTTTAATTTTAAATAATCCAGAGACTTAATACTATTTTTTTAATGGTGATTTTGTTATTATAAATTATCACGTTAAATAAATAAATAAATTGGTTAATTTGTTTTAGTTGATTTAAAACATTTACCGTAAGGTAACGCAAAAACTATAATGCTATATTTTTATAAAAACATAGGAATTTTTTCAACTTTTTATCATTAAATAAATAAGCAAGTCATTGCTAGTCAGATATCTCTTTGTGTAAACATGTGTCTGTAATATGTAATTTGTTATTACATGTAGGTACCACTTGCTAAATAACATAAGGTGTTACTGACAAAATAAATGTTCACACTGTTAACTAATATACACTATTAATTTAACAAATTGATGATGCACCTCGCTTGACAAAAAAATGCACGAGAGACGGGGTGACGTTGAAGATTAATTGAAGTTTTAATTTGTTGAAAATTGTTTATAATGGAAATATAAGCAATAACATTAGTAATAGTTTCAAGAATAGTATATCCTGAGACCCAAATATAAGGGAAAAGATCGTAGTTACTTTAGATAAGGATATGGTAAAGCATTTATGAGTTTACACATAACAATTGTTTCACCATACAGTAGTTTCTTGGATGAAAATTGTATAAACTAATAGATTTTCTAATTTCAAAGAAAACTCATCGTGTTTACTTTCACAAAATATTTAATTAAAGCAACTCTAACAAGTGCTGATTTGTACTCTTTGATAACGATTGCGAAACAATTGTTCGAGTTGTTCTAATTAAATATTTTGTGAAAATAAACGGTGCACTTTCTTTGAAATCAGTATAATGTCTTTTCACAATTACTCGACGATATATAAAAGGCTTGTCCCTCACAGGATAATGAGATTATTGAGATTATTATGCTGTATCTACATAATAATAGTAGTGGGTAATTTTGTTCCAAGTCATACTAACGCAAACCAAATTATGATACTATGAAATAATGAAAATGAAGTTATATAACAAGCATATTTACATTTATAACATCGATGTAATCAATCCCCAATTTTTTTAAGCTCATTTCAATACTTTCTCTCGTTCGTTTGGCAGAGAAATCAAACATTCGTTTTGGATCCGTTTCATACCTTCCAACTTTTGTGGATACGTAGTAAGCCTGTCTTGGAATTCCCTTTAGACACTGCACCAAAATGAATTGCATTTATTGATATTTTTAAATATTTCGTTTTGTGTTAAAATTTTGTCTAGTGTTAAGTCATTACCTGTCCCAATGTGGTTTCAGATTCGCCAGTGCCATAATAGGGCGCAGTGTCGATATAGTTAATCCCTTGTTTTAAGGCATCCACTACAGTGGCTCTGCATTCTTCCAGGGAAAATACTCTTTAAATGCACATATTTATTAAAAGAGATACGTCCACAAATAATTCAAGGAATCAATTAATATGTTGTATTTCTATTAATCGATTCATTAAGATACTCATTAGTCGAATTTAAAGTTTGAAATAAGAAACTGGACTAGTCATTGACCCAATTCCAGAATTCAATTTTAATATCAAAAGATTTGATTAGAAATGTTTAAATTTTTATGTATTTTACATTAATACAAAAAGGTGTTTCTATACGAGATACTTGTACCCCAAAAATAATGAGAGCTATAAAAAAGGGTATGTACACTGTATAGATTTCGTAATATTATAGACTTTGAGAAAGAGTGCCATACCAACACAGAATTTTGGATTGTTCAAATGATTCCAAAATGAGTCTCTTTCAGATACTGTTTTAGTTGAAGGGATGTAAAACTCATAGGAGGATAAATCGGGACTGTAGAGCGAGTGTGAAAGTATTGAAATAGGTTTTGAAACAATAGGACATAAAGAACATTATCATACAAAGATTAATGGCATAGGTCTTTAATGGTCGCTACTACCGCAATTAAAAAGACGCGCTCATTACTTTTGGGATAGACCTCGTATACTGTATCGCTTTCAGTTTTTCTCTTATTTTTTTAAATCATTAATTAATGCAGTGCAAAGAAGGCAATGCGCGTATAATATTGCTATTATTATATATTTTATATGAAACTGCGAATTATATAGATTTATAACACACAAAGCAAGGTTAATATTTTACAATCTACATACCCATACAAAGTGCTAAAACCTCCTGTTCCAAGAGAAAGTTGCGAGACAACCAAGTCGGTTGCCCCAAATTTGACATATTTCATTCGTTTTATTACATTTTCGTCATGGAAACCTTTAACAAAAGTCGGTGGCAAAGACATTTTGATCAAAAACTGCTTATTAATTAAAATAAACTGCCGACTATTACTAATGGAAACGTTGTTAACTTCGATTGTATTATTGTTAGCGTATCGCGGGTATAAATACCAATTTAGCGATGCTTTACAGTAGACATATATACAAATAAACTTAAAAATAAATACTTATTGCAAACTTTGCTGAGAACCTGATAATGTATGATTTGCTGAATCTTATCATTTGTTTTCATTAAAGACAATAATTATCCTTTTATTGTTAAATAAACAATATATGTAAGCCAATTAACAAAAACACAACATAAATGTATAACAATATTTCGGGGAGAATTTGCGGATTTTTTAAAATTCAATTTTTTTCAAAATTTATGTTTCTTTGAAGGCTTTATTAATTTATTCAATACAACAACAAAT